CTGTTCTGTTATTTCGACTCGCCAACCTTGCAAGCTTTGGGGCTGAAATTTTGCCGGTGTGTTCCCCGACCAAGTGCCACGGCAGGACCGCAGTATCAACCTTCACGCACGTTTGGGTCCAGCGTACGACCACGTAAAATTTGGCGGGAAAATTGCTAGCTTCGGGACGAGAAAAACTGGAAGGCTGAAATTTTAGGGTAATGTTCCTTACTCATGTAAGAAAAAAAGATTTTAAAGTCAGCTTTCCAGGATTGCCTGGAACTTACGTTGGTATGACGGGAAAATTGCTAACTAGGTGACGAGAAAAGCTAGAAAGCTGAAAACTTTGGGTAATGTTTAGCACTCATGTGCGACCAAAAGACTTCAAACTCTGCTGCCCAGGACTACTAGGGACTCACGTACGGGCACGTGAAGATCATGGCGGTAAAATTGCTAACACGGGAAGGAGGAAGACTAGAAAGCTGAAAAGTTAAGGAAATATTCCGTGCCTGTGTATGACTAAAAGATTTCAAATTCAGCTGCCTAAGACTGCCGGGAACTTACGTACGGCCACGCGGAAATTTTGGCTGGAAAATCGCTAATTCGGGGACGAGGAAAGACGGGAAGTTCAAAGTTTAGGGGAATGTTCTCTACTCATGTACGACCAAAATCAGCTGTTCGAAGCACTTGGGGCCCACGTACGGGCACGTGAAAATTTTAGCGAGAAAATCACTAACTCGGGAGCGGGAAAATCCGGAAAGCTAAAACATTAGGTGGCTGCTCCCTATTCATGTACGACAAGAAGATTTCATACTCTGCTCTTTAGAACCGTCCGGGACTCACGTACGGGCGTGTGAAAATTTTTGCGGAAAAGTTGCTAATTCGGAGCGAGAAAAACTGGAAGGCTTTAATTTTTAAAGAATGTTCCTACTCATGTGCGACTAAAAGGTTTCTTATGTAACTCTTCTAGTGCGGCCTTTTTCGTGGACCAGCAACTTTCTGTTTGTCGGGTCACTGTAGTCGACGTCTACAACTAATATTACATAGCTGCACAATTAAGTTCCCGAACTTCGAGAGCCAGCATGCCAACAGGGCTAGCTGCTGTGATTCCTTGCGACCTTGCGACAGCACGAAAAGTGCAAAAACGCATGATCGTAACGATCTGCCTAGTGCGTTCCAGCCTGGGTCTTTATTTCGCTGGATGGCTGAGTATACGTTTTTGCCTATATGCAAATTGTAAAAACGCATATTGCAACGACCCTGTGTGTATGTATATTTGTGTGTGCGTGTGTATGTTCGTTTGTCTGGGTATTTCAGCTCGACAACTAAGCAAGTTTCAGCGCCATGATTTTGCTAATGGGTACCCCGGCCAAGTGCCATCTCAGAACCGCGGTACCAATCCTCATGCAAGTCTGGGTCCCGCGCACGATGGGGTGAAAGCTTTGGCGGGAAAATTGATAATTCGGGAACGAGAAAAGATAGAAAGCTGAAATTTTGAGGTTATGTTCCCCATCCATATATAATTCAAAAATTTCAAATTCATCCCCAAGGTATGCGTGGTTCCCGCATACATTCCGATGAGGGTTCCTGGCACGCTAGCTTGAAATTTTCAGGAGGTGTTCCCAGCCCGTGTGCGACTTAAAGTTGTCCAATCCAGCCTCCAGGCAGGCACAGTTCTCAAGTACGGCCCCGTGAAATTTTTTGGCAGGAAAATGGCTAACTCGGAAACCAGGAAAGCTGGGAGGCTGAGATTTTAGGAGAAAATTCCCCGTCTGCATACATTTTACAGCTTTCACATTCAGCCTCCATATACGCGTGGTTCTCGTGTACGGGCACTTAAATTTTTCGCGGGAAAATTACTCATTAAACATCTGGGTCATTTTCAAAAAACAATCACTAAACGGAAATTGTTTATTTCCTTTTTTATGTAAAATTTACGATGATTTAGGGTAATGAGCGCACAAGGTAAGTGTGAAGAAACAACCGTTTATGCAGTTACCTAATTACTTCAAGTTTGGTGCAGAAACGCATGATCGCACCGGCTCGCCCAGTACGTCCCAGCCTGGGTTTTCTAGTGTCACATACTAGAATCATGTTAAGTAGAAGCTTCGTGCTTTTTCAGGACACATTGATTGGTTGGATAAGGGCAAAAATCGATGCCATATCTACTGGAGGCGTCCTGAGGAGTGGGCATCGCTGATTTACGAGTGGGCTGTTAGCAACGGGCTGCTTAACACTCCTTGCACACTGTACGAGATCACACAAGGTGACGACGTCGCACAAGAATGTAAGTTGGCACAGTTACATTCGCGGACCTTTTTGTTTTGTTTGACCTTCCAGGGGTGGAGGAGGGGGAGGGTATAGAGACGATAGGTCTTCTGCCCCCTCCCCTCCCTTCAGCAACGCAGGTAGCAATGTTAAAACTATAGAAAACTCTGTTCTGCACCCCCAGTTGCCCTCTCCCCACAAGAGCTTCACTCCCTCCTAACGCCCTCTTCTCCCAGGAGGCCGCTCTGAATCCACCCCTGTGCTTGGCTGCACCTCGTATTTTGTAAATCAGTAGGTTTATATCCGCTTTCATGTGTCATGAAATGAATACGCCAGAGGATATTTAACTAATGATAAAAACTCGGAGTGATAGTTTTCTCGCATGGTAAGAGCTTTTCCAAAAGGAACCCCGAGAGGGCTGTACTTATTTGGTTTATGGCATAAATATTGCAGCCTTTTATGGTCTCGATAAAGACGTGTTGCTGAAAGCTCTGGTAATTCTCGTGGAGCAACGTCGAGCGCAGCTACTCAATATTGGCACGGAGGCGGAAGGCGTGAAGTTTTTACAATAAATACAAAACTGTAAGCATTTTTGTAATTCGAAAATGATCTTCCCTCGCTTCATCGGGTTCTGAAATAGCATGTTTTTGCTCTTCTTCGACATCTCTGCATTGGTCTGACTTCGCCGATGGGATTTTCGAGACATACTGATTAAAGAAAGCTCGAGTTTTGACTGTACTTTGTTAGAAGCGACGAAGAAAGGGATGTGAATGTTTGTTTATAGCGCTGATTCGTTGCTGAAATATTATTTGAAGTAACATTCGTGAATATGCCATTCTCCCAACTTATAATTTAGGAAAATGACAGCTGCAGCTGACAGTTCACTGCAGGAGGGAATCGACTGCAAGGTTATCGCATATTTGCGTTTTCTGTAAAGTTGATTATTTGAACGTCCACCTGCAGAAAGTGAGCAAGGAGATGGGGATTTTGTAAGGCAAATGGGAAAGAGGAAGGAATGTTGGCAATCTGAGTGATCCTCAAAATTTCGATTTACCCAATTTTCCCTCCTCAGAGGGGATTTGTAAGAAAACTCAATCGTCTTTGCTGTTCGGATTCGCGAGCCAACAGCTTTGTTCTGAAAGATGAAACTGTCTACTCGAATGCAAAGCTTTTCCATAGGTATGTAGATGAAACTTTTTGTCAAATTTCGTCTTATAGTAATAGCTCACATTCTTCTTGTAGTATTTAGGCAAAATTGTCCACCTGCCTATCTTTTCAGTGGACTATTCTAGTTAGTTTAGTTGCCAGCTGTGTCACTCGCACCGGCTGATCAGGAAATAAGTGAAAAACTTAGGTATTCCATTTTTGTTGTAGCCCTGCTACAGTTGTTCACATTTTAGATTGGTGTTGTAAATTCTACGGGTTTTTTGAGCAATAACGAAAGAATTGAAGAGGGCGACACTGTGATTATTTATGTGAACTACGGGACGTGTTATGCGGTGGAAGTGAAGCGTGGCCTCACGCTCACAATGAAATATGGCGCCCTGAAACACGAATATCTTATTGGTAAATGGTGAGTGTTAAATTCTGCGAATACGAAGACTGGAGCCCTGTGCAATATATCGCATCCTGGAACTTAACTCTTTAACTCTTCACGAGTGTCCGCGAAAGATATGTCTACCTGGCCTGCAAAATTCTGACCCAGACTGCTCATCACGGTGTAGATTTGCCATCGGGCTGAGCATTTCGAGTCATGGCGGAGCACAAACCCTGGGCCGCGTTTTGTCTGGCTAAGCTTGGTTGATATAAGCGATTGTCAGCGTAATTAGCGGTTGATAATGAAATCAGTGCACCCAAAAAGACATGAAATCTATGCTGTACCACACTATAGGAACATCGTTATTGATTATTTCTGTAGCAGTGCTGATTTGTTTTTGTATGATTTTATCCTGCAGAGAGATAAAGTAGTTAGAATGGTGGAGACGAACATACTGCTGGTAATGAGAGGTATCGCAAAAGTGCTGAGCGAAGATGAGCTTGGCTTTCGCTAAACACAAAAAATAGCAGCGCACACTAGGGTAGCTGATGTGATCATGCATTTTGTGCAGCACTCTCTAGCTAACGCTTGTGCAGCTCTGTCCTGAGGACTTTGCTGTTAAAAGTGTCCACTGCATTACTGTTTGATACGTACAGAAATTTTTGTGAATAACAAGTTATTGATTTTGACGCCAAAATTTTCACTTTTTTGTACGTGAAGCCTAAACTTGCCCTGGGACTGAATTGGTATGCGGCTGTGGGATTATTCTGAAATTTCAGTTTCTTAGCTGTCATGGCTTCCGAGTTATTAATTTTGGCGTCAAAAACTACATGTGTGAGGTCTTAGCATGC